ATGTCCATCAGGGCCCTATAGGTCAACGGCACTGTTGGCGGTCATTGTTAACTCGGGCCTCGACCGATCCGGTATGGAAATTGTTTTAGTGATTCGCATATTTGATTTGGCTAAAAGTTTTACGCCGGATGCCTTTCCTGACGCAACCCTCACCATTTATCTGGGCTTGGGACCGGCATTATAAAACACTGATTTGTGTACCCTAGTGGCTGATTTCATATCACATTTGAGAAATGACGAATTTCATCTATTTTTCACATATTTCATATATAACAGTCATTCTGAGAAATAATCTTTTTTTCTTTTCTTCCAGATGTAGAAGAAAAAGCAAACAAATTTAGAATAATTATGTTTTGAAAAAGGTTTGAGGATTTTACAAAAGTAATATTGTTGAGCCAGTGCACTTGAGCTGGTTGAACAGGATGAAAAAGCACCACCACGTGCTACACGTTCTGTTTACAAAAAGAGAAAAAAAAAAGGTTGCAATAGACCAGGGGTCTTCGATGTTTTTAAGGCCATGTACTTGTAATATACCAGTGGTTCTCAAACTTTTTATACTTTGTACCACCTGAGAAAACATTAGAATATAGCAGCATGGGCCTTCCCTATTAGCTTCCACCACACAGGAGAGACACAACATTTGTTATTTTGTTTGGAAAAATATTGTTGTGACACACACCTGCTGTTATTTGTCTTCCAGATCAGTGTTTCCCAAACTTTTTTTCTGGGGACCCATTATTTTAAAGTCACAAACCTTCGCGACCCAAGTCAACAGATATTATTCGTAAACTCCTGGGAAAAATTATGCGGGACAACCCCAAACAAATCTCTTCCGACCCACCTGAGGGTCGCGACCCAGTCTTTGGGAAACAATGTTCCAGATTAGTGGTTCTCAAACGTTTTATACTCTGTACCACTTGAGAAAACATTGAACTCTCTGAGTACCACCATGATGACCAACATTAGAATATAGCAGCATAGGCCTTCTCTATTAGCTTCAACCACACAGGAAAGAGGTTTATAAATGTTTATAAATATGTTTATGTTTAAATGTTTTATTAATTGTGCATGGTATGTTTCAGATTTATTCAATTAAAAATGTAAATGTGAAAATATGAATTTTCCCCGTGTACCACTAGAGAGCACTCGCGTGAGTGAGTACAGTTTGAGAACCACTGTCCTAGATCATTATATATATATATATATATATATATATATATACATAAAGTTGTTTATTGTCATGCGATATTTTGGAATGTTATTTACCGTGATTAATCATGATTACGATCACGATCAATCATGATTATTCATGATTAGCCCACCGCTATCCTTTGATTAAAGAATGTTGTAATTTACAGTGGTCCCTCATCTATTGCCAAGATCACCTGCGATAGGCGAAAGACCGCAAAGTGGAGATGCGATAGTTATTATTATTATATTATTTATGGATTTATTAATCCTTTACGAACCTTTTAGGAGGAATTGTAGAGCGAGAAATATAGCTAAAAACTTACAACCAAACCTTTACCCATACGTACTGCAATAATGTGTATGTATGTATTACAAAATGTCTTTTAATTAATTTGTTTTATAATTTTTTTCTATTTAGGCTAGAAAATGCTTATTTTATGATGAAAATAATGAAAATATCGAAAAAAAATTTACATATCACAATGATCCGCGATCGAGCAAAAAATCCGCAATACAAGAATATTAAAATTTAATTAATTAAATTAATTAATTAATTAAAAATATTTTAAAACTGCGATGCACTGAGGGCGCAAACAGCCAAATCAGGATACAGACTCTAGACATAAAAAAGTTTTTTATTTTGGTGCCATATTTAAGTCTTATTAGGACTTAAACCACTTCCCACAACTTCCCCGTTTCACTTCCTCTTGTGCCACATGTTCCTCCTACCCCTGCGCGTAGCTATCACAACGCAGAAAACAGTGAGTGGAGGTTTCATCAGCGAAGGCTTTTGGTGTTAATGTTTACAGTGTTCTGGTGTAGGGACAGGAAGATAAATGGTTTATCACCAGGAAACAAAGGTTTCATATTATTACACGGAGAGGTTGAATCAGGGGCAACTGGCCTGGTTTCTTGAGGACGTTTCCACCCCTTCAGTTGCCCCTGATGTGACTGTT